TGGGCGTTTTGTGATGGTTACATAATAAACAATATAAGCATGGACATATTTGTTCCGGAAAAATCGCATTTGGATAAGAGAACATCAATAATTATATCATTAAATCACAGCCTGGACAATAAAATTGAATCGCTAAATTGCATGTTATCATTAAAAATCTTTTAGCCTTTGATTTAACAATTACAATTAACATTCAAATGGTATCTGTTTCTAATTCTTCGATGTTCAGATAGTCTGAAACAGCTATCTTGTCCCTTGGCGTAATGAATGGTTCATTACATGCCGCCTAATTAAAGATATTATTTAAAAAATATTCTTGTAGTATGCGATCACACCAATATAATTATTTCAAAAATGGACATATATAAAATTCCATATTTCACACCTACAAAAGTATCATCGAAAAAACCTGTCAAGAAGGGAAAATAATACATCTTCTTTGAATGAAAATGCATTAAGATTTTTTTATTCATCGAATAAAGAAATAATAATAATAATAATAATAAAATAATAATAATAATAATAATAATAATAATAATAATAATAATAATGATAATAATAATAATAACAATTTTAAAAAAATCAAAAGAAATCAAAACAAACAAAAACTGCAGATCTTCTAAACTTAAAAAAAAAAAAATTATGGAAGAAAAATGTTGATAAAAAAACAATTTGGTAAAAAGCTTTTTAAAGAATTGATTATAACTTATTTTGAAAATTATACATTTCAATGTCCCAACAAGCTGTAAAGTGAACTGCGGAAAATTAAATTAAAAATCAAATTAAACAAAGATTAATACTTACCCGGAGACGTAAGTTGAACATTGAGTCCTTTCACTGAGGTGTTGTAGAAAAGAAGCAGGAGAAATAACTGTACAATTCCAGTCATATCTATAATCAGTGAAAAGATGATCATTTTTTTTTTCAAAATGAAGTGTTTTTTTTGTTGAAGTTTTGAAAAATACATATGTAAGCTTTGGTTTATCATTAAACTACTTTTCAACATAACCAGGAAACTCTATAAAATATCTCTCGGAATACTTGTTGTTTGTGTTTTGTTAGAATAATAAAACTTAACCTCAAACACTCTGGAACAAGTGAATATAGAAGGGATACGTTCTGGCATACAACAGTACAGCCCACAAAACAGCGACCCTTTACTTTCTCTGATATGCACATTCAGACTAATGTCTACTTAATATTAATATTTCGATGAAGAAAACTTTTAGCTGTAATTTTCACGACAAATAAGATATTGTACTTGTACACTCAAACCTATTTTTGAAACAATAGAAAGTTGACACGTTCGACAAATTGTAATCAAATTCAATCCCTGCGATGTACTTTTTGTTTTATTTTTTTAAGAAGGACACAAATATAAATGTGACCAGTAAATTCCCGTTTGTATTCTGTATTTAGATTGGCACCGCAACAAATCCCATCATCTGATATTCCCGTGAAATCTTAAGTCAGGCTACTAGAAATTAGAAACCTCATATATATGGTAAAACATTCATTTGCAAGTTCTATTTAAAGGAAACAAACGATCACAGAGAATAAGGCTGTAACCAACTCAACTGAAAAAAAGATATCCCTAGATTTAGTCTGTTCTAAATAAAGCCCTAATGAAATACCCTGCCGATTCCTTTGTAATTTAAATTTGCTGAGTTAGGTAAAAATGTTTAATCTCTTTTAAGTAATTTCATTTATTGAATAAAGGAATACAAAAATTCTTTAGTACATTACTATGGCCATAAGTGCAAAAGGAACATGAAAACTTTTTAAGATATATAGATAAGAATGAAAGGCAAAATCGTAATTTGTAATTAACAGCCTTAACTTTGAGAAAATTTAAGAATTTTTTTTTTATGTAATTCTTTATTTTTGTTTTACACATTCTGTTATTTAATACAATAAATTATTTTTTAACAAATACAGAAGGTGTAATTTTTTTTCATTTTGGAAAGAAGAGATAGGGAGGGGGAGAAGAGAGAGAGGAGTGCATGCATTCACAATATTTATATCAATCTTTAAGAATTTAAGAATTGAAAACTTTAACATACCTTGTCTCTTGTTTAGCCTCTTCATTTGTGGGAAAATCAAGTCTTTTATAGACCAGATGTGTGACGCGAAGACGGGAATGTCTTATTGGATGCTGGATCAATTGGTATTTATCGAGAAATGGCATCACCGTTATAAACAACTAACATTTACATGTAAATGTCGAATAACCCAATAGAATGAAAGGCCTGAACAACAACGACTGATGTCATGTTGATTCGTCATCAAATCCAATTACTATACTTTGATTGAAGGTATTAGCTAATCATGTAATCAATTCTGATTTTTCAAAAAAGTAGATTTAGAAACATAAATAAGGATAAAATTAAATTTAATTAATTTAATAAAATAAAATTATTCAAAATTACCAGTACTCTATGAAAAAGAAATTTAATCTTGCCACGTGAATGACTAAATAATTAATACAAGGACTATGTAATATTTTGAAAGAATCTTCTCGAATTTAGATTATACTTCATCTTAATATAAAACGATTTTTAACTATGATTTTTTTTAAAGGTATAAATTGTATAAAAACGTGCCACTACTGACAAATGTAAAGTGTAAAGTGATCTTACAAAAAAAAAATTCAGGAATAGTTAACCAAAAAAGTTGCAGTTGAATGGACAAGCTGATTTTAAACTCTCAGAAACATTTTTGGTCTTTGCAATTAAATACCAGTAAAAACATGTATATGAATAAGTTTGCAGCCGACGACATTCCTTTTGGATGGTCATCAGGCCCAGGGATCATGAAACATCTTAAGCCTCCCAAAAAAATTAAGTTGTATTTAAAGGTTGTCGAAGTCATGTACCTCTATATCAAAATATTTCTTCACATTGTTTTCCAAAAGTGTTGTTTTAAATTTGTGAGATTAAATTAATAATTAATAAACTTTTTACGGGTGATTGAAAATTTTACTTAATTCTAAGTCTGTTTCATGATCTTGGGCCAGTATACTAGTATGCAATGAGAATTAATGCATATCACTGTCTTCGAAAATGTATAAAAAGACAATATGCACATTCCTTCTTCCCTTGATTATATAAAAGATGAAAATAACGAGCAGTGAACGGCATAAAAAAAATCTACAAACAATCATATACGATGGACATGAAATACTGACCCCTGGAAATCCCAGAGGTGGGATCAGATGCCAAGGAGGAGGAAGCATCCCCTGTTGACCAGTCACAACCGCCGTGAGCCCTACACGTTGATCAACATGATCAAGTAGATGGAACATACCGTTGTCAAATTAAGTAAACATTAGGACACTTGTATGAAACTAGACAGCCAAAAATACTACCAGTGAAAGGATATATTTCCCAACAAGACCATTTTAGTGACCATAGAATTTACAAAATGCCACTTTAAAGAAGGTTATTGAAATCCCAGCAACATCAACATTTCAATGAGTGACATGTCTCTCCTTAAAGCTGTTTGTACTCATATTATAGTGTACTAATTTGTATATTTGCTTTTTTTTTTTTTAATTTTTCGCCTTTTTTTATGTAACTTTGATCAATTATGTCTTATTTTGTACATCCTTACTTTTTTCCTATAACTATTGATTTATTACATATTCACCTTGACCATGATGTTGGGAGAGGGCTGAAATTGGCTGAGACTGCTGCCCAGTCCTATTCACTTCTATAGATCCGTGAATAAAACATTGTTTAAATTAAGTTCGGTTACTTTATTAATACACAATGTTCATGTATGTTTTTTATTACAATTCCCTGATGTTCATAAGAATAGACACAATTTATATAAACAATATTTTTGAAGGATTGGTCCAAATTTAACCAAATATTCAAAGAGAAGTGAAAGAACTCGACTTTTGCCAAAGAGAATCAACCAAGAAGCCCCAAAAATAGCTTTAGTTCCAAAAGATCTAAAAAATTCAGAAGAAGAAAAATGGTTTCAATAGCAAAGACTTTCAAAAATGCGTTTTCCAGCAAACATGGTATTTTTCAAGCTCAAAGGTTATTCTTGGTATTAGATATAACATTACACTTTAGAATTATCAGCTGCCTTACCATAACCTTTCCATCCATATACACGTAGTTCTCTCCGTTAACAAATAAATTCAAAAATCGCATCGCCTTACAATCACACTATACCAACAAACAATTATATTATTTGTGGGCACACTTCCCTCTGCACTAGAGGAATAATAGTCCTGGAGTCTTTTCGATTTCTGCTTCAAAGTTTCCATATTCAATTGCTCGTAGTCAAGAATCTTAATTGTAACTTTGCATTTCCGTTCAAATTTTATTAATAAGGATCGAAGGTTTGATTTGTTTATTTTATACAATTCCATTAGAAAAGAAGTTGCAAAATTATAGTTCATTTTACCGACATAAAAATCAAATTAGTTCATTGTTAAGGTTAATTTTACCAACATTAAAATCCAACTGGTTCTACAAAACAATTATATTTCATGAAAATGAAGTTCCCAAAAATAATAAAGTCACTATATGTGGTAGACAATTAAAACAAATGCGGGTTTTATATAAACTTTTTATTTTATTTTCCGATCGCTAATAATTTCCATATTGATAACTCAAATGGTTAATAAATAAATATATTTTTATACTAGTAATCCAACTTTCTTTCAAATAAAATTTCAAAATATTTTCTTCATTCTTATGAAGATTCCAAACTTTCGTATCATTTCAGAGAAAAAAATATTATTCGTGATTAATTCATCCATTTTATATAATTTCTTGATTTTTTTGTAAGAATTCGTACCTGTTTTAAAAATGGAAAAAAGCGTAGACGATTATAATTTTGGACTCATTTGCTCGTACTTTTATTCTAAAAAGCGGTTCAGACGTGTATACCTATTACACTATCTTTGATCTGGAAGCATGCAGTAGACAACATATCTGCAATTCATCCTAAAGTCTTCATGATGTAACAGGTCTACAAGAGTGACAAAGGAAAGGTCACCTTAGATAACATTTAGCACTCTAACGCCACTGTTTCTCTCTCAAGGACTGTGAAATAGGTTGGTACTACTTTCGTTGTTTCCTAAAACATAATGAAATAAAGCTTTATTAATGTATGCAAAATTTGTAAATTTTTCAAAGTAACATGTCAAACAACGACATTACCACTAAAATGCCATCTACAGAGTATATTCAATTTGATGATCGTACTTTTTGAAGAATAAATATTTAAACGCTACCCTACGTATTTTTTTTTCATAGGACAATATGCAATTCCTCCTGGCAATTTTGTGTTTTGGAATGGTCTATGCGTAAGTAGTTTTCAAAGCAATTTTTACAAAGATTATCTTGTGACTTATTCAATAGGACTGGACATTCAATTTAAAATATCCATATACAATCTGTCATGTAAAATGATATTAAAGTTAAGAGTTTTAGAGAATATAAATGTGGTATTGTGTGAAATAAAATCGGTCATATGAACTTTCCATAGTTAAAATTTGATATTCACCAAGATTTTTAAAAACTTTTAAACATGTGTTAGTTCATGAAAATCAAAGGGTAAAAGGCAATGTGAAGATGAATATTGCCGTTCGTTACGTATTGTAGCCAGCGACATTCACTGCACATATTGTCGTCTTTCGGAATGTATATGAACACCGGCGACAATATGTTCCACGACGAACTCTTCCTGCAGAAAGAACGGCAAAATGTACTGTCATACATGAACAATATTGTCGTTGGCGACAATATGGACCTTGATAAATACTTTATTTTGTCGCCAATATATTTTTTGAAAGATTACAGAGAAAAAGACCGATATACACTCAGAGAGAGAGAGAGAGAGAGAGAGAGAGAGAGAGAGAGAGAGAGAGAGAGAGAGAGAGAGAGAGAGAGAGTGCCAGCACCTACTGCGACACGGGAGCTCGATTTATACGGTCTCATCCGAAGGACCGGTCTGCCCGTCCCACAGAAGAATTTGAACCCGCGACGTACGGATCAACGGTTCATTCTACCTATTCCCACTCTTTGAAAATCATGTAGAAAAGGGTAAGATTTTATGTGGGAATAGGTGGAATTTTGTGTAAACAAATAATTAACTATGTTCTTAAATTTAGGTATTAAGTTGCTTTTTCTTGTAAGATCTTTTTATTATTTCAAAAATCCTAAATAAATCATATTTTTTCATAGATGTATTCATTATTTTCTGTCTTAAAATGTACAAAATACAGATATAAATCTAAACATCTATTGTTATTTGCAAGTGGGAATAGGTGGAATTGGGATTTTTAAAAAGTGGGAATAGCTAGAAGACACCCGGTTCAACTCCTTACTTCGCGACTCTAGAGTAGACGCTCTTACCACTGCGCCTCGGGGGCGACGAGAGAGAGAGAGAGAGAGAGAGAGAGAGAGAGAGAAAGAGAGAGAGTCGTGTGAATTCCCATGGATACCAATAGCGCCTTATTGTAAGCAGATTTTTTATTCAACGAACGAGTCTTCAAGGAAGTGTAATAGTAGGGCTGGCTTTAGTTAGATGTCCCGACGCCGACATATACAGAACGTAATAATGAAACATCACAGGGCTTGAAATATACTTGTAAGGCAGGTAAGGGGCGTTAAAATAAAATAAATAGAAAATTCGTTAAATTTAAATTTGCTTTACGTTTTATTTTCAGGTAAATGATTATGTTTCACTTTTTAATAAAAAAAAATCTTCTTCAAACCCATAACAAGTGAAGACTGCAATTTAGCTTTTATTGGTAATGTATCAATAAAAGTGAATATATACCAATGGAACTTTGTAGACATGTAAAAACAAAAAAAAAAAATTAACAAATAAGTTTTTGTACAATTTAATGAGGTTATCCCCTGAGCTTTTGAACATATATTTATCTTAACCTATCCGGTATATTTCATGTTTCTTAACCTATATATTATGTTTTAATTTTTACAATGAATTTGGATTCTCCAATGCCAATTTAAGAACCCTCTCTACACTGCACACTAAAGAGTTCTGATTCTATGGTATTTTTAGGTCACCTGAGTAAACTCAGGTGACCTATTGCTATCTGTTTTTGTCCGTCGTCCTTCGTCGTGCGTCGTTCGTCGTGCGTTAACATTTGAAGATGTTTAGCTTCTTCTCTGACACCACTGAACCAATTTCAACCAAATTTGGCATATAGCATCTATGGGTGAATGGGAACAAAAATTGTGAATTTCATGGTCCCTGCCCCCCTGGGGCCTGGGGGGTGGGGCAAAAACCACTAAAATTAGTGCAATCTTTAAAAATCTTCTTCTTTACTCCGGGACATCAAGCAGTCAAATTGTTGGTATGATTGTAATCAGCATTGAGTCCTCTACCAAAATTGTGAAATTCATGGCCCAAGGGTCAGGGGTTCTAGTGCTAGGGCGGGGCTAAACAGGTTATATAGTAAAAATGCATTATTACTTTGAAAATCTTCTTCTCTGCTTCTGGGCATAAGCTAACTAAGTACATAGTTATGTTGAATAAGATTGCCTCTTTCAAAATTGTGAATTTCATGGCCCCAGGGTCAGGGGTTCTGGTGTTAGGGCGGGGCTCTATTGATTATATAGTGAAAATGCATAAATTCTTTAAAAATCTTCTCCTCTGCACTTGGATATTTAACCACAGAACTATGTACATAGTTATGATAAGGAAGGATGCTTCTTCCCAATTTTTGAATTTCATGGCCCCTGGGTCAGGGGTTCTGGTGTTAGGGCAGGGCTCTATTGGTTATATAGTGAAAATGCATTAATTCTTTGAAAATCTTCTTCTCTGCTCCTGGGTATAAAACAAACAAACTAAATACATAGTTATTATGACCGAGAATGCCTCTTCTAAAATTGTGAATTTCATTGCCCATGAGTGAGGGGTTCTTGTGTTAGGGCGGGGCTCTTTAATTGTTTATTTAGTGAAAATACATTAATTCTTTAAAAAATCTTCTCTTCTCCAGGGTATGAAATAGACTAATCAAGTACATGGTTATATTGAATAAGTCCGCCTCTTCCAAAATTATGAATTTCATGGCCCCAGGGTCAGAGGTTCTGGTGTTAGGGCAGTGCTCTGTTGATTATATAGTGTAAATGCATAAATTCTTTCAAAATCTTCTCCTATGCTCCTGGGTATAAAACCACTGAATTATGTACATATTTATGATGAGAAAGGATGCTTCTTCCCAATTTGTGAATTTCATGACCCCTGGTTCAGGGGCTCTGGTGTTAGGGTGGGGCTCTATAATGATTATATTGTGAAAACGCATGAATTCTTTGGAAATATTTTCCTTTGCACCTTGGTATAATGCCAATGATCTAAGTATATATATATATGATGAAGAAAGATGCCTCTTCCAAAATGGTTAATTTCAGGGTCCCTGCATTAGGGGTACTGCGGGGGGGGGGGGTTTACATAGTCTGAAAATAAAGTAATACTTTGAATTCCGTTCTTTGATATTAATCACCCATTTCTGATTAAATGAAATTTATAAAATTTCTAAAATTTTAAAATATGTGGCCACAGGGTCAGTGGTTCCTTTGGGTTGGTGTGCACAACTGGTGGTTATAAAGTGGAAATGCATTTTCTCTCTGTTACTCTGATCTCCCTTTGGGTATTAAGTAACCAAATTAAGCATGCTAAATGTATAGGTATGATAAACAATGGTGCCTCTTTCAAAATTGTGAATTTCAAGGCATTTGGTTTAAAATAGTCAAACCAAATTCAGTTGTTGGAAAGTTGTTACACAATACTCAGGTGACCTATAAGGCTCGTGGGCCTCTTGTTTTTGAAGTTAGAGTGATCTGCATGTATTTTCTCTACGGAAGTAAACAACAGTGATTTCTATTCACTGATACTGTGTTGTGTTTGATTTTTTTTTTTATGGGGGTAAATGCCACGCACCATATGTTGAAAATCATATAAATAAGCTCAATACTAACACCTTTAGGCCAGGTAAAATTAATCTTTAGATTCTCATCCTAATTTGCCGGATTTTATTTTTTATATTTTATAATTGTTAATTTATATATAGGCCTAAGTATATATACACATTTTTTTCATTACCTTAATGCAAATATGAATAGATTTAATTCTTTTCATATTCTTTTAAATATTTAAAGAATTTTTTTTCTTTAAAAGTTAAATATTTATTGTTAATTAACAAATTAACAAGTACACATTATACGGCACACCCTGAACAAAATGAGGTGGGGATACCAATAAATTGTGTATGCGTGACTTCTTACTTTGCAAATTCTATATAAATGTTCTAATAATTATTCTACTGAAAAATCTAGCCCTTCTCTTAAGTCTGTCTACGATGTTGTAGATTTTTTTTTTTATTTCAAAGATGGAGATCGTTATATATAACTTGACTTTCCTCGTCTATTTTTACTTAGTTACAATCTCTCTACATACTTGCTCCTGCCAGTGATGGTATCTATATGTGTTTATGCTATTTTTTCTTCTCTGCCTTCTCTATACTGACAAATTATCTTTTCCTTACACATTTAAACTGCTTTTATTGCCGATTTTTCTCCATTCTTCACATGGCGTTTTTGCTATAAATAGCGACACGCGAATTTTGATACAGACGGGAGATAACTCTTAAACTTTGACCCAAATTCTTACTGAATAAAAATACAAGAAAATACCCAAAAATCAAAATAAAAAACATTTTTTGAGAGGGGCGGGCCTAAAGATTAATTTTATATGGCCTTATAGAATATATTTTTCTCAATATCCAAAAAAAACATTTTGTACTGGTGTAGAGAGGGTCCTTAACTATATTCAGTTAACATTCCATGGTTAAATTGCATACCATAAGCATTAAGTGAGAAACTATATTTTGTGGCGGAAGGTTTTTATTTTAATAAGAAAATGATCATTTTTTTCCGTTTTTAAGTAATTAAAGTACCCCGGTATGTTCATTTTGGATTCCTATTTTTACATGCAGCCTGCCCACAAAGTTATTTTGTGCAGTGGACTGTTTTATACTAATTTGTGTATTAAATAAACTGACATGAATTCTATAATCACATTTGATAAATATAGCAAATGTATTGTGAAAATAAATTTTAAAAATAGCCCCAATTTAGCTTAAAATTAGCACTATTTCATGAATATCTAAAAATTAACATGATAACCCCCCTTTACGTTTTCTTTTTTGAATATATACATTATTTTTAACCATTCTTCTTAAATTCAGTAAAATGTCTTCACTTTCAAATAATCTTTTTGCTCATAAAAATTCTAATGCCAGAAAAAAGTGAATGTTTAAGTGCAAAAAGGTCAAATAATAGAACATGCGGAGTAATTTATTTTTTTTTTTCATTTTCACAAATTTCAATGTATCTATTTAGGATGAAATAAGACTGTGTTTTCCCCATAATTTTTTTGAACAAAAAATATTGGAGGAAAAACTAAAAAAAAAAAGAAAGATTTTTGAGTAAGATATATTTACAGTGCAAAAAAGGTCAAACTCTGCTCTGTAGCACCAACAGAAGCGCATTGACCATCATTTTTTGTTTTGATTTTTAATAAAGCTTTGTGTATAAATTCTAAAAATATACTTGATAGAAAATTCTCATTACTTTTGAAGGCAGGATCCATCCTCCTTACATGTAAGAGCCAATCACCATGGACTGACCTTAGACCAGATAGGACAAATGGTAATCGCGAACATGGACAAAAATGCCGACGGCAATATTACAGTGGATGAGATGTTGTCAGAGTTCGTTACAAACTATGACCACGACAGTAAGTTCTTCACATCAGTAAAGCATGGGGTGAAAACTTATTGGTAAAATTGTTTATATCAGTATAAACCTTTAAAATTCATACTAGGTTACATGCATCACATCTCGTGTAACCCTTGAACTTCGATCTTCAATTGTTCATCATTATACGCCAGAGGTAAATTTGGTATACCAGTAATAAAGGAAGAATCAAGTTTAGTTTGTATGTATATTTGTATCTAAATAATGATAAAAAACATCATGAACATGATAGATGCAAGTGTGATTTATAATTGATTTAAGGATTTTCCGTGCTAAAACGTTTCAACAATTCATTCTTTACGTATTAACATACGTTTTGAGAACAAAATTAAAGAACCAATAATATAACGTTATTCTTTAATTTTAACTTGGACTGCGTGTTCTACAAAATGTTTCTTTTTTTTTTTAAATTACAAAAATATTTTAATATATTTTACAGTGCTTTCACATATATAGTCTGTACAATGTATTAGTTTACATTTAATGCATACTTTTATTTATTCTTCATATTATACAAATGCAATTTCTCTTTGGTAAATACATGTTGCATTTCAAAATCAAAAACTAAAAATATATATGACGTGTTATATATGTACTCGTATATGAATCTTTAAATTGTTTTAGTTTCTTTGATTAAGCATGAATTATTTTCGTTGAGCTTTATCTCCTTTGAAAATCTACATTTTATTTTGTTTTGTTGGAATACTTCCTACTAGTTTATTATCTGAATCATCATTTATATTTATCAAACAAACACGCATTTATTTTTTCTTTTCAGATTTGTTTCGAAATTTTTTAATATATTGATCTTTAATCCCTGAAAAGTCACTTGTATTTAGGAACCTGATGAATGATTTACATTGATCCGTTTAGGTAACGGGTGCGTTAGCATGCATGAGTTCACACATCAGTGGAATCATGATTACCATGACGACCACCACGCTTCGGAGAACATGTATAGACATCTAGACATAACCTATGATGGATGTTTGTCAAGGATTGATCTGGACATGCATCATATGGCCATGGACACAGACAGTAAGACTAACGGGGGAGAGGGAATTCTTAATTAATGCCCTGTTCACACGGAGAGTTTAATTCGCAGTAAATTGATGCGAATTAAACTAATGCGAATTAAAATAATGCAAATTAAATTGCGTTCACACGACAGCTAAAGCGAAGTAAACTAATGCGAATTAAAATTTTATTTCTCCAAAAAGTATTATGACGTCATTTGTAAATCAATTCATGTATACAGAGCCATCCACTTGATATAATATTCATAGTGGCTACAGATATACATTTAGTGATAACCATACTATTCCTTGATTTTTAAACCAAATATAGCGTGGATACCTATATCTAACCACCAACATGTGTCCTGTGACTTAATTCTGGCCTTACGCATGCGTCAAAATTTAATTCGAATTAGCTTCACTTAGCGTCCACACGGAGCTAATGCGAAGTAATGTAATGCGCAGTAAATTAATTCGAATTAAAATAATTCGCAATAAATTCTCCCTGTGAACGCTAAGCGAAGCTAATTCGCAGTAACTTTACGTTTAATTCGAATTAAACTCTCCGTGTGAACAGGGCATTACATGTAATTACTGAGCAATGTGATTACGATTTTGATTTAGATTCCAGAGGAATGCATTGATTATACGAAAGTTTATTTCCATTGAAAAGAAAATCATAATTTTATTTCTATTTTAGTGATGAGTTTGAATGACACTTTACAGATATGTATTTATATATACCGTTTATTCTACAGATGATGGCACCGTGACCTCTGCTGAATTTATGGAATGGCTGCATCACGTAAGTTAGCATCACTGTGATACAATAGGCACACAAAACAAATAAATTTTACCAGAACATTCTCTGCAGGGATTTCTTTGATGCCCAAATCGCATAAAGTATATTTTAAAGCAATTTCACAAGAATATGTTTGCATAGAAAAAAATACATTTGGCACAGACACAATTCTTTGAAGTTGTGTGCTTTAAATTAAAATATTTTCAATCTTTATATTTCTCGGTTATGTGAAATAAGGTTAGTCATCAAAACCATGTATGCATACAGTCCAAACTATACTGGATAGAAACTAAAAATGGGAGAAAAATTAAAAAGAAAAAAAAATGGCAAAAATAAAGTCAAAGATTATCAGTAAAAAAATAAAAATTATATTTATTTTCTTGCCATTGATTTTTAAAGTGTGATCTCTGTAAACAAATTAAGAGAAATAACGATTTCTTGATTTTTAATGTAATTTAAATCAAGTATGCACTAATTTAACGATAGATAGTGCTTATCTTAATTTTTTTAAAAAGTTTTTAATATTTTCTTTATTTATTTTTGCATTCGAAACAGGTTCACCCTGATAGTGCCGGGCATGGTCACCATGGATAAAACAATCATACACGGCAAGCAATAAAGCAAATATTAACACTCGATCGTTATCATTTTTTTTATACAAACCAGTTAAATTTAAGCTTATCTTAAAGCTACATTTTTTAGTGTACGAGAAGACTGAAACACCTAGCACATGCTGACTTTTTCAGTACATAGAACAATCAACATTTTTTCAAGAAAGAAAGCATGCCGATACTTTGTACAAAAAATACAAGAAATATCATCGCAGTGATTTAGTTTTTGTCGTAAAGAATTCGTTTTCGTAACTTTATTATACCATACAATTAATATATCATATTTATACCATATATATGGTTTTAAGACTAATAAATTCTTGATTTACATTGCCTCTGAAAAAAGTATATTTTTCAACTTTTTTTTTTACTAACAGTTTCTTTAAAATGCATGTTGTCTATATTCCTCTATATAACATATCATTACGATTCATTAGTAAACTTCGCGATTGTTCAGTCTAAAAAAAATTGAAATCTAAAATATTGAGATTACTGAAATAAACTAGAGGTACTGTGAGCGATGAGCTCACTAAATGATACCCCCCGCCTCCCATATGGTTATAACTGGTGAAAAAGTCCATGTTTTCCTGTGGCCGGGAAACCCAAAATATGTGTCGGATCAGAATGTAAAATAGGAGGTGCACAATGGCAATATGTAATAAAGATTCTGTGAAAGTTGCATCAAATTTCATTCAGTGGTATGAGAGGAGTTGCGGATAAGAGATGGGTACCCCAAAGCGTAACAGACGGACGGACGGACACAGACGTACAGACGGACGGAATTAACGATTACTATATACCCTCCCGCTTTTCAAGCGGGGGGTATAAAAACAACAGACATTTTAAGCAATGCAAATCAAGGGGAGAGCAAACACAAACCTCTTTTTAAACATCGAACGTGAGATCTGGTGCCAGGGAAAAGAAAGACTCCTCTGCCTGCCGACAGCCCACCTCTAGTTAGGTAAATCAGTAGACATTCTTGTACCAACAATTAATATTAAAAGACGCAAGTGGGCATTTGCATCGAACATAGAACATGCAAAATGATGATTTTGAACGAGATTGTTAATATTTTTGTTCTATCGTTGTGTTTGTCGATAGCTTGCTTCGATTAAAAAAATTATCGTACATAGGGCATGTTCTTGCATATCGATACAATTGAGAGACATAAACCCTATATGCATGTGTAAAGAGTATATAACAAAGGTGAGACGAGGATTGAAAAATTGAATTATCATATTTATTATAAAGTTTTGATGATGAGTTCTCAATAAAATGTTTTTAGTAAAACATCTAAATTGGAAATGAACATATTTGTGAAATACCGTGGTATCTTTTATTTCAGTGACACGTTCTTTGGGATATATTGAGGAGATTGAGATATGAATGAATGTATCCAATATTAACTGAAAATATGTCGTCGATATATCTTGATGTCAAGTTGAAGGATGCATTAAGATTTTCATCTTCTTGAAATAATTTTGCTTTTGTATGAATACAAAAGTAGGTCTCTAATAACGGGGCGGTATCCCATGGAATTCCGACAGATTGTTGCATGGAAGACCTGATTTCCAAAAAAATACATAAGCATTATCAATAAGAAACTCAAGCATCTGTTAATATTTATTTCATAGTACTTGTGTGTACAATCAAAAAAGGTTAATAAAATAAATATAGAATTGATAACTTTGTTTTGACGGTTATTTTATGTTCCACAGAATATTTAACATGTGGTGCCTGCATTTCTTTGACTGACAACAAGCGTTGTCATTGAGAAACAACAGAAGCAACAACAACAACAAGTGGACTGTTTGACCTATAAAAAGTATTGATTGTAGTCTCTTACTTCATGTCAGGCCTCGTTCTATAACTGTTTAAATATTTTTTCGATGAACTATTAATGTATTTAATGGTATTCATTTGAGGAAACTGATTTAGCTTTGCTGTTGATGCCTTGCATTTCATTTTGCTAGCCTTTAATTTAAATTTGCAATATTAAGAATGGCATCACATTCCTATTTATATGAATGTTTTCCAAAGTTCGAATTAAAGAAAAACATTGCACTGGTCAACCCTAATATCTAAATTTTACTTTGATTACATAAAACATCTTCGATGCCAGCGCATGCCTTGGTTAAATATGAGAGGGAAGCTGTGCTACTTAGTTTCAAATTTTTGTGGTTTTGTTATGTGCCTCCAACTCTCGAAATAAATATAAAAGCAAAAACATAATGGTTTCGTATCCGATGTTTTATTTATAGAATAACAAATTTAGATCTGCCAAGATAGCTTAATAAATATGTCATTCGATATTGAACAAAAGCCATTTTTTCAGGATTTGTTTCCACTGAGAATTAATAAAACATATAAATATGAAATATATTATCCCGTAGTGAAATTTCATAGTAATACTCTAAAAACCTAATGAAATACACACGATTATTAAAGATTTTCTAGAGATATGATTTTTCGCCCACATTATTTTAATTAATGCCTCAGCATAACCATGGGGCATGTGAAAAATACATCAATGAAGTATTATCAATTACTCCTGTATAAAAGTTTGTGCGAATTAGATATTTACTTTGATATCTTTAAATCTTCAAGTTTTGAACTTAAAATGTTTAACTAAAATTAAAACGCTGCAAGTAAGCAGCATGTGAAGAATAGATCTTTGTAGGTTTGATTATGCATGTACAAGTTATAATTGTGGGAATCGTTTCAATATTCAATATTCTCTCAGGAAAGGACATATGTAAGCAATCAACTGCTGTCAAATGTATTAGAGTAAAATAAAAAAAAATCACTATCATAGATTTCTGTTGGTGTTAAGTTACAAACTGTGCCTCTATAACAGTCTAATACCATCCCGGTATACGTATGAATTTATTTTTTCAACCCAATATTTGACGTTACGTTAGCAAATTAATAAAAAAAAAAACTAAATACGTTCACTTGTTAGGATGATAAATGGTCAGTGTGGATAGATACCTACATTGATTTTACTTGAAGAAAATAATAATCTATTTATTGGTTTTCTTATTCAGAATTTTAAAGAGAAGTGAAAGTAAACTTCACTCGAATAATAAAGTAAGTTGAGTCTTTCCATAGTCTTCTATGCATGTTTCTTTTTCATATGAGATTATTTATACAAAAAATATTATCTTTAAGCTAAACAATAAGCCTTACGTGTTAAAGTTAATGTCCCTTGATAAATCAAAATCTTGATTTTCGATTATTTAAGATCCAGTGTGTTTGATCTGCAGTGTCGGATTGATGGCGTGTTTTAAAAGTAAGTAAATGAAATAAACGTAAAATTAATGACTATTGAAAGCTTTGTATACATAAAATTTAAGTTTAATGCGCAAAAGAAAAATGCCTAAAATGTAAAATTTTGTGCCAAATTTTAGTCTTTATCTTTATTTGAAATAATTCCAGGCTGGAGAGATGTTACTGTATTTGAAATAAATCCAAAATTAAAAGCTTGCCTGCATTGAAAAGCATTCAGATATGATATTGTCTGCATTTGAGGTTCTTAAGATCTGAGAGCTATATTTATATTTGAATTATTTCCAAACCTTCAAACCAGAGCTAGATCGGGGGGCCCGGGTTCGATTCTCGTTCGCGGCGCCGCGTCATAGCTAAGACGTAAACAAAGGTAGTGACTGTTCCTTCGCCAAGCGCTCGGCACTAGAAGTGAAAGTCACGGGTCTTTCGGATATGACCTTAAAAACGTACCTCCCGTGTCACGGTAGGCGCTGGCACAATAAAGAACCCTCACTGCTCAATGGCCCTGAGTGCCGAGCATAGGTCAAAATTGAAGCCCTTCACCGGCATACGGTGACGTCTCCATGTGAGTGAAATATTCTCAAGAGAGACGTAAAACAATATACAATCAATCAATCAATCAAACCAGAGCTATTTATGTACGTACAAAAAATATTATCATATTTGAGTCATATTATATTTCTCAGTTGAAATATTTACAAAATCGAAGGCTGTTTTGTGGTGTATCAGACTATCTTCCAAATTCAGGATTTTGCTTCTCTTCTTTGAATACTGAAAATCCTTTTTTAGTTTGAGGAGAAAATATGTCTAAGTATTTGAATTCGCTATTGAAATATGGGAGGCAAATAGGTTACTGCAAAGAGAAATTTTACCATTTTTTGGAGAAAACGAATTTTTTACGACAAAAACTGAATCACTGCGATAATATTTCTTGTATTTTTTGTACAAAACGTCCATAACAGAGATTCATAACCGTGTTTGTTAAACAACTGTTTAGATTTATGTTTTGTTTTGAGCATATTTTATTGACAAGCAAAAGGATAAGAAAAAAGTTCTAACAGCTTACTAGTTCTTCTCCTTAAGAAAAAAAAACACATAGTAATTGTCATGCAAAATTTATGTGTAATATGTTTTATCTTGAAATACATAAAATTCAATTGTGTATTTTTTAAAAATTCTAGATTTAAATAGTGTATCTGTGTTTTAAACTTGTTCCCAATGTAATTGTTTCGTGTTTATGTCCTTTTTCAGTGCGTTTGTACTTTATAATGAAGCACTTACTTCCGAATGGAGATAACCAAAAATATTTATCCATAAGAAATAAGGGAATATATTGATAAATAATTATATACTGATTTTGAATAAAATCAAAACAAAACGAATAACATGTGAGCAAAACTGGAAATAATTCATTTCATGTTATGTAATATAATTTTTTTACTAGCAATTAGGACCCTTAGCGTAACATGCTTGAAAGATTTGCAAAAGCGGTGACCATGTTTTGCAATTGGTTCAAGGAGTTAGTTTGAAGAAACCATTTGACTGCTGATAAGTATATTTTAGATAATTTCAATTTTCAGAACAGGAAGGAAAGTTCGACATCACAGAAATAGACATTTATCAAGGAGGATGCTAGCTAAAAGTGTATTAATGATGATTAATTTATGCAAATAGTGTTATTTTCAAACGCTTTGTGTTTAAACCCAACCTGCAGCCAACTAATCAAGAAAGAAGTCTTTTAACAATTTAAAACAAAACATTGAACACAGTTCCTTAATACAGTTTACACCCACTTTTCTATGCTCTTCAATATTAATGAAAACTACAAAAATAGACCGGTTAGACAGTTATTTGTCGACATGGGGCTTATGGCTTACAGATGTTCTTGTCTTCCATCAAAACAGCTAAAATGCTTCATTATTCCAAGACCTCAGAATCAACTCATAAAGGTAACCACATCTTAAAAAATTACTCCCACAATCTTCGTGTTTTAAGTTGGAAACAAATTATGATTATGAACTCCCAATGATTTCATTGATGACAAAAATAGCCAAAATTCCACTTGTAATTCCCATAAGATTTTAGTCATTCATTGGGAGTTTTACCCCGCATTATGATTATACAATTCCAGCTGCTAGTGAAATATTCGGATAAAGTTCTGACATATCTCAGGTAGATGTATAAATTTCAGGGATGCTTTAAGAGTTCGGTTGAATGATGCTCCTTGATAAAGATACATTGGATATTGAGGAGAAAAGATATAGAAATAATCCTAGTGGTGCCTCATCCTGATTCTCCGCCCACGGGCACCTGTCTTTGTTGTTAAACATTAATGGAATAACTGTTTCATGACAGCCCAGTGATGTTTGATACAGAAATGTTTGGATAATAAGAACACGCCAATTAGTTAAGCTGACGAAAGGAATAGATAGTTTTTTCATTATGGAACCTCTCAGAACAGTATCACTGCTGGTCCTACTGATTCCTTTAACAGTAAGTTACTTTCAGAAAAATAAAATAAAATACATTGTTACGTACTGTATATCAATAAGTTTAAATTTACATTTAAATTTATACTAACGCTTTTTAACATTAAATGAATTGTAGGGTTTTATATATTTTGGAAGACGAGAGATGATAAATAAAGATGATGTAAGCTCATCAATGTCTTCTACAGTCTTTATTAATGCATATATTACCGAAGAATAATGAAAGATTCTTATGACCAACGGCATTTTTGTAATGATAGCACTTTATTCTAATCTTTATGTAAAATGATCAATTTAAAAAATAAACTAAAGAAGTTAAAAGTATTATCCCCATATTCATTTAAAGTTTGTCCTTACAAAGTTTCAGTTTCTACTCCTCTACTTAAATATACAAATTTTAACACTCTCTCTCTTTTAAAGACGATTGCTTATCCTTCTATCTGTATTCTTTCCTGTAGTTGCGAAAAGAAAAGTTTATTTTCTAAGAAAATGATTATAAAATCTGTAAACAACCATCTTTAAATAATGGTCAAAGAGTTAGCATTCGACTTTATAATATATTGTTCTTGCTGACAAAGTCATTGTATAAACCATAGAATTTCGAACAAGACTATTGACCAACTTTTTTCACAATTGCTTGCTTCATATTACAAATTGTTCGAAGATAAAGTATGCTCTTGCATATTGATTCAACTAAGAAATTAACCTAAAATGCACATGATAAGAGTATATTTCTACATTAGTAAGGGAAGTTGACGAGGAAAATTGAATGAAGTCATCATAATTTTTTTTTTTTTGACAAATTGAGTTTTTGATAAAATATCCAAATATGAAACAGATGTGTCAGAATGAAAACACAATGATTTATATGTTAAAAAAAATACTTGTTTGAATATAATTTTGTTGTATAATGTCATGATACAATATGATTTACATCTTTATCAAGCATTTCATGACACGATTGAGGGTTCAGGGAACTAAAGTGACCCAACTGATATACGTTTTTGTGTCAAGGGCAGATCATTTAATGCCGTGCTGCTTAATCATTGGAAGATAAAACGACAAACATTGCATGTCTTCAACACATGCGCCATCTATCGGACTGGAATGCCGAAAACATATCTATAAACTATTTCAAGTTTCTTTATCGGTGGCGGAGGTTAATTGCTACAAGGTGGTGATCTGTTTAAAAAAGTAGGAAGAAGCTGTTTTGCATTATACGACAGCTATTTACTGAAAGGTTATTTTTAATAGATAATTTCTGGCGAGTTTTTGCTTGAGTGATAGGAGCCACCAGAGAGTTAATATTATGTTGTTCATAAACATCCGTAAATCACAAATATATTCATACATTAATTTCATGGCATATACATGCTTGTTTTGTTATCAATAATCATAAATTCACAATTTCATCATTTGGTATTGCGTAGACTTCAATTTGAAAATCACATATCAAAGATGCAAATATTTCGCTTATGTCTCAAAGCGTTCCCCCGAATCTTAGAAATAACTCTTGTCTTTTCCAATGCAGAAATTACCTGTTTTCAAAAGTTCAAAGGCATACTTGTCTTTATTTTGTAATCCATTTGAGAAGATGAGGCAAGCTCTTTGAAGTTTAATTACCCCAAAAGGCAAATTCAGTAACGTATAGAAAATTAACGATACTTTACAATAATTATAATAAAATGTGGACGACAAGAAACAATTGCAATTTTTAATCTCAGATGAAATCTGACATGCTCCTTTGAGTAGTACATTACTGAAAAGGATAAACCAGCTAAGCTGAAAGCTGATTATAAGATTAGGGTATATATATATATATAAAGTATTAACCTTTATAATGTTACTTTTTATGTGATGTATTTATGTGTGTATTTGCATTATATGTTTTTACAGTCACTTTTAACTTAGCTATGTTCATTGTATGAAAAATAAATAAGTGTTTGGTTTTGAAATTAATTGTGATTCTTTTGTATTTGTTTATTTTTGTTAATGTTTAATTGCATGGTTAAAATTATAATACTAAACAAGATTTATATTATGCATTTCAACATATATATGGTGCTTTGTTGAGGTATAGGAAGGAGGAGGCATAAATATATATATATATATATATATATATATATATATATATATATATATATATATATATATATATATATATATATATATATATATATATATATATATATATATATATATATATATATATATATATAACTTTATATTTATTTTATCTTGAAATTAAATAAATTAGATGAATATTTTCGTGATTAAAATTGTAATACAGAAATTATGTAACTAGCTTTGTAATGTTATTTTAAAAGAAATTGAACCTATAAAATTTTTTTTTACATTCCAAGTAATAAAAAAAACTTAACAGCATTAAACCCAAGATCTAATATCTTGAAGCAAAGGTATAAATAAATGCATGACATAAATAATCTTAAAGATTTTCTGATATATTACTATACGAACAACTTTATAACAAATGGTGTCTTATCTTTTTTGTCGGCTAGACGGAAAGATATTTTTTATATAATGGGTTACTATGTCAGCTAAGAATATAGAGCGTGTAAGAAACAGAAAAAATGTTGCAAAGTCCTGTTTATCTGAAAAGTAAAAAAAAATATGAGAGAATGATTGAAGATTTTAAAACCATTAATAGAAAGTTATTTACAGTTAGCTTCGAAAATGTTACAATACATTCGTGTAACACGGAATGGCATTTTTCACAGGATTGCAAGGTTAATTAAACAATGTAAAAAACTCAGAGTATTCTTAAAATAAAAGATAGGCATTTGGAGAAACAACGTATATTGATTGTAGATTTATTTTAATCTGTAACTTGTGCCAACTTAATCACGAGAAGGTAAAATGGCAATTGGCAATAGGAATCTTTGCAATCGTTGAATTCCTTTACTTAAGCAGCAATATTCCCTTGTCACCTGCATACGGGGTTTACTTCTCTCTGTTAATTCAACTTGCACGAGCATGCTTTACCTATGTACAATTTCTATAAAGAGGTAAATTATTCACACACTGCTGAAACAAGGATACCAGCAGTCTCGTTTAAAGTCATCATTTCGTAAGTTCTATGGTCGATACAATGACCTTGTCAGTGAATACAATTTATCATTAAGTCGAATTCTTACTGACGTTTTTCATACTAACAGTTAGGTCATTATTTTCACACTAAATTCTCGATAGACTTTCACGTTATTTCCCGATCATGACAAGGAGCACACGGCGGATGTGACCGGTAGGCAATCTTATGTAAGAAAAAAGTAACGTAAGCAATTTTATAAAAGATTTATTCACTGCCGAAACTTTATTTTCTTTATTTTACAGATTTGTCAACTGACCCTGTTAAAAGGTAAGGGCTCTACGAAGAACACTTTGTTGGTTCAAAGATTTATGTGACACGTTCGAAACGCTTTAAAAATGTGTGAAACCATTATTTATTATTTTCTTTTCTTTTAGAAAATGAATATTTCTGCGGCAACAAGCCAGCTGATATAGTTATCCTGCTTGATTCTTCTAATAGTATATGGGCTCCAAACTTTCGAACGCAGATTGACTTCGTAAAGAACGTGACTTCTATGTTTGACATTGGAGCAAACAAAACTCGTGTCGGTGTTGTTACATATAATACTGACGTTGTAGAAGAAATAGGACTTGGTGACTACACAAACAAACCAGATCTCCTCCTTGCCATCAATAACATACAGCAAAGAGAGGGATATCATACACATACATTTCAAGCCATAAAATATATGCGCAAACGAATGTTTAAAAAAACTTTCTTGGAAAGAGGAAATGCCGCCAAAATTGGTATTATTGTCACAGACGGACAGTCGTCAAATGTTCTTTTCACCATATGGGAAGCTGCAAGGACAAAGAGGAGAGGCATTAGACTTTTTGCGGTTGGAATTGGGGATAATACAAATTCTCGAGAGCTGAAAGGAATTGCTAGTAAACCTGAAAGCGATCATGTTTTTAAGATAGACAACTTCGGAGCCCTGGATTCTATCAGACAAATATTAGCAGTTCGTACTTGTGAAGGTAAAAGAATATAAATATAAGAGAAAGCATACCAAACTTCAAAAGTAATTATCATCTATACAAGGTATTTAATGTTAGACTTGAAATATTCACCTGAGCAACCAGGAGACATGTTGCTACTCGTCTGCGTACGTCGTCACCCCTTTTGATAGTTTCTCCTCTTTTAAACAATTTTGGGTTTAAAGAGGACAGACATTAGAATCCCCTTTCTCGCCAGGACAAAATTATAGAAATCTGTTGTACTTAGTAGATTTAAAACTATCTTCTCTATAATTGGACCTGAAAAGGTTAATGATTTTGAATGTCTGAATCACAAAACTTTGACGTTTTTGACCCTTGGAGAATTTTAAAAATTAAGGTAAAGTATTCAGACCTAAGGGTGGAGTGAATTGATCATGATACAAATACATCGTACAGTATTTGTGCAAAATACATTGATTTACACCATAATATATCAATTAATTGGTAAAATAAATCTTTGGAAGCTCAAAATTTCGGTTATTTTCTTGCTTAGCGGATCGTAGCTATAGATCTGTAGCTCGCTGGTATGATAAAATTTGAATAGAACGACGACCAGAAAGCTACAGTGTCATAAAGATTGCAGGGTAGGGCTTTGTTTCATTTTTTTTATCATTTTCTTTGTAATATCTAGTGTACTTGTACTTGGAATTTAAAAAAAAAATATGTAAATATATTTCAAGGCCTATCAGTTGTATTAGGTGGCTTCCATCAAAACTTTAATACCATAACTTTTAAAAAGAATAAAGAAAACATTAGAAGGTAACACTCCATATGAAGGCAAACTATGAGCAACAGATATGAAGGGACAATGACCTGACTCCGGGGCCATAAAACTGAGACGAGTTCACTTTTGATTTCAGTCTCGCTTTTTCAAAAGGGATTGATAGTGGAAAAGTAAGGCTTAGATTGAAAGTGAGCTCATCTCAGTTTTATGGCTGACGCCTGAGGTCTTCATGTCAAAATCAAGGTCAGGGGATAGATTAATTAATCAGATATCAGTTCATTATACTTTCTGTTAAGAATAAATATAACATTCAGTTTGTGTATAAAAGTCAGATAAGCATGATGAACTTAATATCATGTATTGGTGGCTCAAGTTTTAGAGAGCACGTCGAAATATTCTTGATATTTGAAGATTAATGTAATCTCTCTTATTTACTAACTTCACTTTTGGAGCATCATATATTCCGAATCCATTATCACTGTCAATAAAAGAAAATATCATCAAATATCTGACGAAAAACATAAATGAACTATGGGGAGATAACGAACAGAATTCAGACTCAAAAGTCCAAACAATACAAAATTGGAGCAGAGCAAACACGGACCTCCAAAATATTCAGAGCGGGATCAGATGCCATGGCAGTGAGAATCCCCTGCTGACCAGTCACACCTGCAGTGTGTTCTTATATACACATGGACCGCCTCCTGAATTGTTTACAGTGCATTTATATTTCATTTCTGATGATCAAGTTGTCGAACAACGAATGTGGTTTTAAAATGCCTTATACATGTCTTATCTGTTCTTTTGTAGTTATACCAGAAACAACAACAACGACAACAACATCCGCCACAACGACAACAACAACCACACCCACCACAACGACAACCACACCTACAACAACAACCACACCTACTACAACGACAACGCCCACTACAACGACCACACCAACCACGACAACCACACCTACAACGACCACACCAACCACGACAACCACACCTACAACGACAACACCAACCACGACAACCACACCAACCACAACAACAACTACACCTACCACGACAACCACACCTACTACAACGACCACGCCCACTACAACGACCACACCAACCACGACAACCACACCAACCACAACAACAACTACACCTACCACGACAACCACACCTACTACAACGACCACGCCCACTACAACGACCACACCTACCACGACAACACCAACCACGACAACCACACCTACCACGACAACCACACCAACCACGACAACAACACCAACCACGACAACAACTACACCTACCACGACAACCACACCAACCACGACAACCACACCAACCACGACAACGCCCACTACAACGACCACACCCACCACGACAACTACACCTACTACAACAACCACGCCAACCACGACAACCACACCTACCACAACAACCACACCTACCACAACAACCACACCTACAACAACAACCACACCCACAACCACGACAACAACACCTACAACAACGACCACACCCACTACAACGACCACACCAACCACGACAACACCAACCACGACAACCACACCCACCACAACGACAACGCCCACCCCAACGACAACACCTACCACGACAACAACAACCACACCTACTACAACAACCACACCCACTACAACGACCACACCTACCACCACGACAACACCTTCAACAACAACGACATCGTTTTTACAGTATGTCAGGCAAGGTATATAGTTTTATCCGCGTCAAAATCCAAATGTCTTGATTTATACCAATGAAATCAGTTGCTTACATTTTAATTTTATTTCAGCCTGTGCTGGAGACAAAAATGATATCATGATAGCTATAGATTCTTCAAATAATGTACGGGACCACGAATTCAAATTACAACTTAAATTTGTGGAGGAATTAGCCAGAAATATGAACCATAAGACACTCAGTACTCATATTGGTGCAATATCATATAGCACTGTCGTTGACAGCATTGTGACTCTCGGCGAATCCCAAAATATAAATCATATCGAACAAAGATTAAAGAATGCAAAAAGATCTCATGGCAGAGGAAGAGTAGATGAAGCTATAAGATACGTAAGGACAAAGGGATTCCTCAGAAGCACAACGAGAAAGGATGCCACACAGATAGGCATTATAATAACCGCTAGCCCTGGAACTGCAAAGTCCATTCGAAAGTCAAAAAGACAAGCCTCAAAGGCAAGAGACACAGGGATTATTCTCATAGCTATAGGGATAGCTGACATTAATACAGAGGAACTAAAAGCGATTGCTGGAACTTCTGATAGAATTCTGCAATATCATTTTCCATCAGCTAGATACCTCTCTGCAAATTTAGCAAACTTGGCACATGGAATCTGTACAAGTAAGTATGTCAAATTCAGATGGAAAATTGTGTTGTACAGTATGCTTTTGACTTCATTGACAGAATTGTAAAAGATATTGGACTGTAAGTGATGTATCCTTGCAAGATTCGTTTCTTTTCCGCCGGCAATATGAATATTAACTTAAATCTGTGAATTCTTTCATTGAAAGCAATAGACCTACATCTTAACTACTGTTTGAAAAAAAACAAACTTAGTAAGTGCACCAATATTTTATATATATATTTTTTTATATTATTTCAGTTGATAGAACATCTGTCAAGGCACTTTCAGACAAATGTAAGTACCCGCTTAATATACAGAATACATCGTATCAAATTAAATGAATATAAATGTTTGCTATAATGAATAATTTACCTAGAATATGGCTTATACATTCCAGCATGTGGCTCTAGACAAGAGGCAGACTTTATGTTTATGTTGGATGGGGTAAATGCCGGAAAAACCAATACCCGAAAGGTTTTAGCTTTTATACAGGACATAATGAAGGACGTGGAGGTTGGCCCTAGAAAGGTGCGAGTAGGTGTCGTGTCAACACAGCCAGATTGTGGAGAAGACTTTACTGGATTTAACCTCAATACCTACAAACACAACAAAAAACTTAATCGCGCCTTGGAAAAAGTCAAAGGTGCTGATGTATCGGCAGTATTAAAAAAGTTAAGACAAAATATGATCTCCCGGGCTAAAGGAGGAAGAAAAGGTGCTAAAAAGGTTGCCATTCTGTTTATAGATGAAGGACTAGAAGACCCAGTAAAGGCCTTTCTAGAGGCAGAGAGAGCTAGCATTCAGGGAATAGAAGTTTATATTGTAAAAGTTGGTAAAGGTCTTTCCATCGAGAGCGATAAGATTGGACAAATGATGAATGATGAAGCACTTAAACAAAATAATGTCTACCACATCTCAAATTATGATGAACTGCCAAACATTAAACAGAAGATTTGGTACAATATGTGTGATGGTAAGTACAAATTTGAAGGCGTTGTTCGTAGGTAATGTTCAAAAGAAGGGAAAAGAAGGATACCATATTGTCGAGTTTATCTGGAATTTTAAACCGTAAATTACATCTTTAAAGTTATTTTTGATTTGTAAAAAAAAAATATAGGTACATGTATGAACGGTATGTCATATTTAGAGCCTTTCTTTGGTTAAAAGAATGTTTTTGTTCCAAAACCCTTTTAATTCCATGATTTTGTCATTTTAAACAGAGCTTTGATCGGATGCGAGAAACACTCTTGAACTGGGACCAATAAAATAAACCAGACCCATGATCCTGAACATGGAATCAAAGAGAAAGATGATCCAGGACTAATATTATTATTTTCCCGCAAATGCTGTCTAAAAACATACTTGTTACAAAAAGCACAGCACGCAGTGATCTCGATGCCTACAAATATTTTAGGAAAAAGGCAAATTCTAGACAAGCTAAATAAAGAGAGATCAATATCTCTACAGAAAATGCATCCCATCTCAAACTCAAATTATTCATGTCTGACACGATGTCAAAGAGCTGGTAAGTTTTATCACAAGGAAAATCCCCTTGAATTGAGTGTATGTATGTTTGTGATAATATTATATCGTATATATAATTATGCAATACAAACTGTTGTAATTTGTATTGGGAGAAAGAATGTTTCGTATAAAAGAATTGTGTGGACGTGATTATTTTATGTTGATAAAAAAAAATTGTTGCATGATTTACCTTTGCTATTTTTATACATTCTGGACTAAAACATTTGTCTTTCTACTTATTTTTATAACTTTTGAAATATTTATTAAAAATGAATACATGATTAGTTTCTTTTCACTTTAACTAATAGAAAAGAAACAATTAGCGGCCTTACAAAAGATGCGATTTGTCCTACGTTTTGTTTTTAGGAAGATAAATAGGAAAAAAATCTTACGAGCACTGCCTCTGCAACAACAACAGCGAAGACACAGTTTTTTTTAATTCTCAGTTTATCTTTTTGTGGAGGAATGAGAAAGATGCCACACAGTTATCGTAAAACTGATTCTGAACTGTCAGGAAACACGATAAATCTAACCTATACGTGTTTAAATACATAGAAAGCACAGGTACCCTTTTTACATTTGTGTGTAGTCCCCATGCCAGATAATCAACAAATCGTATGTCGGATCTGCAGACAAATATCTCCCAAAAATACAACAGAAGTATTATAAAATGATTTATAATCGACACAATTATTTTAAAAGAAAAAAAAAACCCATTAGAAAAAATCAAGGTCATGAAGTCAGTTATCTCAGAATTTTACATAAAATCGCCTTTAGTCATTGTAAAATAGTATTGTATATAATGATTAAATAGTATTGCTCTGATTGGGTGAAAAAAAGCTCGGCAGAAACGGGGAAAGTGATACCTGGGTATCCTTGTGTCTGTATTATTATGTTGAAAATTCCTCTCTGGTGATATTTATTGTCTAATAGACCTGCCAAAGTCAGACAACTGTGGAATATTCGGGACAGACGTGGGATACCATTGAATGGAGTACCAGGATATACTAGAACCTTTACGTCAGATAACCGTTGACTATATTAAGTGGTCATTTAATCAAGATGAAGAAACGGTTGTGGCATTTTGTTTGTTTTAAAGTGGTCAACAAAAAACCCACCGTTTACGAACTCTGTGTGTAACGCCTCGGTGATAGATGATAGATTACCAAACAACAGCTCGGCACATTGCCTATCCAAAAAAAATATTACCGTCTTTTTGTCAAGTAAAGAAAATAGAATGTCAGAGAAAATTTCAAATATCTAAGCTTTAATTTATTCTTCACGGGAAGTTTATGATTGCAATCCGGGCATATCAAAAATGTCTGAAAAATGTTAATTACATATAATATTTGACCGTATGCTCCTTCCCATTCATACACTCTTTTAAAAAGCGCTACCAGATGTGCTTTGCAGAAATCTGACAGTAATCTTACTCCTCTAAAATTACACATTTAGGTTTCACTAAAATTTTATTGCATAGCGCCGCTGTTTAAAGGTGCCTTATCTACTGGCACAGTAATAAAATAAGTAATTTACTGCGCTTGTTTGATATGGCATGCTTTTGAGATGCATATCAAATCTGCTAAAAACAATTGAGGACTATTTGAATGATCTGTGAAGCATTTTGCTTTTGAGATGTATATAAAATCAGCTAAAAACAACTGAGAACTTTTCATAGACCTATGAAGCATTTGGCTAAAAAGACAATGACAGAAGAAACTCTTTACACAAAACTTCACAATTTCAATGATTTAACATTTCAAACACGTATCAATACACTCTATTATTATAAAACCATTCAGTAACAGAATAATGTTAATGGGATAAAAAGTCTGAGAAAGTCCTTCTGAAAAATACCTGTGTATTGATATACTCTATGTATATGCTATTTGTATTCATACAATGAAATGAAGTAGCTATTATATATGATATAATAACTTCTTTATTTACTGAACAATCTCTAAAATTCCTGGTATTATGAGACAATTAGTAAGAGGGATATAAACGTCGGATGAGAAGAAGACTTTGTTTTTTATGAATTATTCCGCTTGTGGCAGTTCCAAAATGAAACACAAAACAAGAAACAGTGCCTAAAAGATTCAATTACAGAGGGATTTATAGCATAACTATGTTCTTTGTCTAATACATTTCTAATGGTTTAGCTGCCGCAGTAAGAAGAAAATAATAGAAACAACATGAGACATGCAATTTACAGAAAAAGGAGAAAAGAAGCACGCAGTTAGCCCGTCACGATCAATAAATATCATGGCTTCCTGCAGGTGTCCGTAATAAAACATAAAATCTAGAATCTTGGCAAATATAAGTTTACAAACATATTATGCACCAAAAAAAAAAACTCTGGCACTGGCATTGAGCGTCTTAGGTACTCAAAAATTTGTTGTTATCTCATAGATAGATATGCATTTGTCTCCTATTCTTAGATATATACTTGCATAACTCGAAAATGTTACACTCAATGTATCAACAACAAAAATTTCTGGGAACGAGACTCTTTCAAATGAAATTCCCAGTAAGTCATTGCTATCTTTCCTTGTAAATTATGTGGTATAAAATCTTCACGGTAATGCAATAAAGTTCTATCTGTAGTGCTATTATACAATTTAGAAGGGAGACAACACCAGTTATCTATTTATTAATTAAAAAGAGTAGAAAATAGTAATTTATCAAACCTTTTGTCTTCTACTTTGCTCTGATTCCATACTTTCAAAATATGTAAACAGACAACTTTGACGTCATCGTTCACTTAGAATTTATTGTTTACCGATCCCGCATATTTAGCAATTGTGTATGTGTAATTATGAATTAGAGTTATCTCGCTCAAACCACTGTAATTTCATTTAAAGGTTGACAATAAACTTGTAACCCTGCATTCTCGTTTACGCTATCTCATCGTTATCTGAAGGGTGAGAACAGACTTTGTCACCCTGCGCGTGAGGGAGACATCACACCTCACGTGACATGCTCTAAGCCAATTAGACTGACTGTGTATAATTCTGAAGGCTAATAAATAGGAATTGTCAAAATTGTTAAATAAAATTTTCATTACTTCATGTAGAATGTATCTGTAAAACTGAATTTATTATCAAAACTTAAATTTGTAAAGATATATCCTAAAGAGTGTCATTTTACATTTTAATTTTGTTTAGTACTTTTTATTTTATATTTCATATTTATAATTTTTAAAAATCTTACATGTACCTGTTTGTAAGTATGTTGTATTGCAGGGCAATTTTGAAAACTAGCATAGCTGCTAAACTATGTCATCTTAAATAAATAAGAGCTGTATTATTATTGTCATTATTCTAATTCTCATATCTGTATGATAACAAATTTAATTTCATAGACGTCAGTTATTCATATATTTGGTAAGAAATCATTTCATATTTTTCTTACACAGTCGGAAAAAAGTGTCAGATAATTTAGATGGGTTTGTCTTTTTTTCATTCCAGGTTATTTTTCCTTATTTATTCATTCATTCTTCGTTCATTCGTTGTCACGAAAGAGAAGATTTGAACCTTTATCTGGACTACTTTTATTTTCTATAACGGATGTCCACGTCCCCCATTGCATGTTAATGATATAAGGGCTTTGCTGTAATATCCATGTGTCTCAGTGTTTGTGAATGCTGTTTTCTCTTCTATCATCATTGACGCCTTTCCCAATTTTTTCTCCTGAAACAATCGCGAACAGATCCACTATGTATAGTTATGCGTTGAATCATTGCTTTAATAATAGTGATAACATCTCAACATTTCTAATCTAATCATTTCATAGTGCATTAAGAATAAGAGTGCTATTTCTGGAAACAGAAGTTGATGAGGCGCTGCTGATGCGAACTCTAAAAAGATTCATCTGCTTAATAAAGACAGAAACTGATGAAACATTTCATGATAGGAGATAGGAGAGCCGACCTAATGACATAATAAAGGACCCAGCAAAAACCCACCTGTTGATTAGGATACATAGAATAAATGGCGAAATTGACCAATAATATATATCAAGAAAATATATGCACATATTTTATTATTATTTTTCGTAAGCAAAAATGATAAAATTCAGAATAAGCTGCAGTATCTTAGTGAGCTTTGTCAAAACAGACAACAAAGAAACATGGTTTACATCATGATATATTCCAAATGTGTAACCAAAACTGTTAAAAGAAAGAATTTCCCTATTGCTCTTTCTCAGTGAATCGTTAAAAAGTTAAACATCTTAACTTTAAGAAAAAATATGTTTATGCTGAATGAATCACAAAAAATCCCCTATCAAAACGTGAATGACGGGAAACTCATTTATAATCAAGATCAGCATATCTGATAAGAATAAACATATTCAATATATAAAATTAATATTAAACCATTGAATAAAATAATCTTATTGCTTCTACTCAATGAATGATCATAAAATGGAGAGAAAAAACGATAATAAAAAAGGAAGATGGTTATAAATTAATGTGGAAAAACTCCAAAACTTATTCAGAGCAATTTGATTTCACGGACAATTAATGTAAGGTACAGGGATAAAACATAGGACATAAGACGTCTGAGTAGTAATTCTCAAACCAAGAAACTGTGGTAACTTTGTAGATGAGAAAATAATTAACAATAAGAGCGCCCCGTTATTACCAGACCTATTTTTGTAATCATATGAAGACCTATCCAACACCTCAAACATGAGAAGAAGAAAATGTTTGCTATGGTTTTCGATATTTACATATATCGACAACGTATCATAAAAAGTTACTTCCATTCATAAATCGACACAATGTATCCGATATATCCCAGTGAGCTTGAAAGTAAAGATACCACCGAGTCTTAATAGGAAATAACATTAATGGTAATCTAACAACCAATCATTATCGTAAATGTTGTGTCTATACCTTTCCAATCACCAACCTCCATTATGTAGCAGTTTACACATATCACCTGCATATGTTGATATTGGGAAACATCTCTCATATTCGATACGCTACGGCATACTCTCCGTATGAGCAATTTCTAAAAAAAACAAGTTTATGAAACAAGAATATCAAACATCTCGTATAAACCATCACTTCGAAAGTCTTACGGTCGACACAAATACCCATCAGCAAATACAATATATCATGATCATTTCACATGCTGATGGGCGTTTTTCATACTTGTAAGGCTATTATAAACTCATCGAATTGTCTAGGGATTTTCTCAGGTCAAGACAAGGGGGACTATACGAGTGTATTCGATCAGCAGGGGATGCTACGAAAGCCTAGAAGGCTCATTCGAGATTCAAATTTCGGAATACGAGATTCAAAATTCGAGTTTCGAAATTCAAGATCCAAACTAACCAATCAGAAGCGTATTTCGTATTTTGAATCTCGAATGAGCCTTCTGGGCTTTCGTAGGATGCCTACTCCTTTTCATGACATCTGATCCCATAATGATGTTTTAGAGGTCCATGTTCGCTCTCCGCCCTATTCGTATTGTTTGAATGGATTTTCGATCTATTGCTGTTCAGTATCTCTAAATTTCATGAGAATACATATAAGCAACATTTTGTATCTTAATAAACTCTGATATAATTGATATTACTCATAAGAAACACATTGTATCTTAGGTCTCTTCATACTCATAAACATCACTGTGTACCGCAATCGACTCGGATTCAAATAATATTACACATAAGCAGGGTCATACCAACAAACGACTTGGATTTAAATGGTGATACTTATCATAATGATTTTATGCCCAAAACCACTCGGTATTTGATGAAGATTCTCGTATGCAAGATTTCGTACCCTAAAGCTTGGATTAATGGTACTTACATGCAACACTTGGACCCCCTAAAAATGATATGGATTTGCAAGAAAATACTCCTTTACAGCAGATCCAACTATCCAATAAATTTAACAGCATTTTTGTAAAACCAGTTTAATGAATCATTCAAAGAATAAAATATATAAACAATAAATATATCAACAACAAAAGTACAAAAATATATAACGTATAAACAAAAGTACTATACAATCACATAGAAATATTGGATTAAAGAAAATTTGATGAACAAATCATATAGGTGAATGATATGATGAGGTTTAGTGTTATGGAAAAAATATTTTTTCTCGGGTACAATTTCTCAACTGTGTAAATGAAGTAAACAGCAGGTAGCTTTTATATATTATGCAATACCTTTATAAGACACATAATGGAGAAATAAGATGCTATAAATATTTACTCCTGTGAATGACTTCTCGTTATTGATGGCAGTCACATTTACTGAACTACATGTATTTAAAAGAAGACCCGCATTCCTTTGTCTACAAACTGTTGTTCCTTCTGTCTGGCAGTGGATCAATGCATCCAGTCTCGAACAGGAAGATGGCCACAACATGGGATTAAAGATTAACATTAAAGTTCTGCAAAAAAGTAATAGAAAAAAGATCAGAATTTTTGAAAGTGCTTACCTTCTATCCATGAGATACATTTTAACTAAAGTTTATTTCCATCTCAAATGACTTTTAACGTGGTCTAATCAAATCTACTTATAATTTTTCCACTAGTATTATGAACAGCCCTGCCAATGGTCATTTTGAAATATCACACTACTTCAATGTTGTTTTTCCTTAAACCATTTCTATTTTTTGTATTAATCATCATTTTTTCTTAACTTTAAAGCCATGACCAAGACCCACGTTATGAGATTAAATGTTCAATAAAATGCACTGAATAATGAAATTAAAAGAAATTCAATACCGACCATCACATAAACTGTCCCAAATTTTCTGTTTCACTGCCGGAAGATCCTTGTAATCCGATACTTTGAAGAATGTTTCCTTGGAAGGAGAATCGCACATCATCAGAACCTCCTCCTGAGGTTTGTCCTCTCCCACTTGAACCACAATCACTTCAACTCCATGAAGCTTTGCTCTTTGGGCCTCGGTGAGTGCTCGAAGTGGTTTCTCGAGACTTCCATCTATGACGAGTACCGCCACCTTCTTTGCGTGACGTCGTCCCCCTTGGCGATGACTAAATGCTCCATGTCGCATTTGTTTAATTAAAGCAGAAAAGTCTACCGTCTTGGCCTTCGTTAGAGCATCTTTTACTTCATCTCCATTTTTGTTAGAGCTAAGTGCAAACCCGGGGCTGTCTTGTTGACATTCAGCCGACATCAATCCAACCTGAATTTTGTCTTTATCGATAGCTAGTTCTTTCGTAAGATCTTTGAGGAAGGCCAGTGCTCTCTTCGTATTTGTGCGACCCGCGTTTACACTGTCTAATATAAACATTATATCCGCCTCTTGACGAGAGCCGCATGCTGAAAAAAAATCAGAATATACGTATTACACGTTTTAAACGAGTCAAAAATTTCATACTAATATTTTCAATTTCGTGACAAATTTAGTCAATGCTTAAAATCACATGACAGTTCTTTTATCAATTTTTTTGTATATATTATATTTTCAGGCTGGAACATCATTAACGCATACTGAAATAAAGTTTTAATAGTTTATTACAAGTAGTATATCTACCCTAACGAAAACCACTATGTTAATGATTATGCATTATTTTACGCAAACCACTTAGTTTACTGGTATATTAAATAAAAAAAACTAAGCTTACTAACAACTCTAATGCTACATGATTCAAGACTTTAATGGCTAACCTTCACTTCTTTTGATATCAAGGATTTATAAATTGATTTTGATACCAAATGCTAGTATATTACGCATAAAAACAGATATATTGAAAGCAGTTTCAAATCATTAGGAATTAAATCATAGGTACCTTGATCCTGTATGGGTGTCTCAGCTTTTGGAACTGCAATACATAAAAAAATTATAAAAGAGTGTACATGCTAATATTGACGAATCTTAAATATTCACGGTTTTTAAAATACATGTACGTTAAATACCGGTAAACAAAATTTTATATAATTATATAGTAACTAACAATGAAATAATGACAATAAATACCTCTACATGTTTCCAAAGCCACCTCTCCAATAAGGCTAGATAAATCCTTGAAAGAGGGCACTTGATAAAAATGTCCAGAGGGACCAGCAATTGATTTTATTTCCTCAACGTCGAAGTTCCCTACACCAATAGGAATGATGGAAATTCCAGAGTTGTTAGATTTTTGAGCTTCTATCGTTGTATATTTCTCATAAGTGGAAGGAGATCCCGTGAACACAATAGCGAGTTGAGCAGAATTCCTTCTAGCTAGACCTCTCCGAAAGCTTTTGGTGCGAATATGTTTGAGGGCTAAATCCAGTCTGTTATTTCCGGCAGTTCTTTTGGTTTTGTCCAGGGTTGCTATGACATCATCTCGGTCATAAAGGTCATTCAAGTCCAAAGCGTTAACTACCTGGTCGCTGTATAAGATGGCTCCTATTCGAGTGCCATTACCTTGTACATTCAGAGTGTTAATAATTTCTTTTGCAAACGACATTTGATTGTCGAGGTCCAGGTCCGAAATGCTCGTTGTAGAATCAAATGCAAAAATGACGTCACTGACTCCATCTTTACACACTAAATGAACAAAAAAATAATTTAATTACCTGTGAATCTATTTTTATTGAAATGATATTGGCAAACCTATTGAATGAAAAGTGCATACCACTTACCTTCTCGTGCTACTTGAAGCAATGAAGTCGTCGTCGGGGCTGGAGTAGTAGCTGTAAAATACAAAGGCTACTTATAGACATGTATACTACATAGAAATAGACCACTTCCCCATTCATCTTGAATTCTTATCGCTTGTCCTAAATGTTGCTTTTTTCATGGGGTTAACTGATTTTTTTTTAAACATATAAAAAGGTTGTTGTTGATTTATATCTTATTGAAGTAGTACTTGAATGTTGACTAGTTTATTTTATTACCCCGAACGAAGTCGAGGCGACATGTTATAGTTCAACGCGTAACTTTGGTATCATATTCTCACTTATGGCTTGGGCAATCCCAAAGAACTCACAGTTACAGAAAAATGACCAAGTCTATTTTTGTTTTCAAGATTATATTATCAAATGGTAACTACACAAATATATGAAAATAAACTTAATTTCATTTTTTTTTCAGTCTTAGAATGTGAAACATCAGAGAATTATTTTTGCATCCAATCAAATGAAAAATGAAGAGGACAAACAGAAGTCATGCTCAAAAGTCTACTGAAATAATACAAATCAGGAGGAGAGAAAACAAGGACGTCTTAAACATCAGAGAAGGGGATAATGTCCAATAGAGAACTGAGCACTTTCTGTCGTTTAATTACGCTTTTGCAACCCAAAACACGAAAATGAATCGACTTGGGCAACTTTTTGTAAAGAAAATAAGGAAAAAGAGAAAAAAAAATAATTTTTTTTCTTTAAAGGGTTTTTAAATGGGCAAACGTTTCCGAAAAGATTCTATGTTTCTAAGTTGTCATAATTTTTATTTCCTTTACAGAAATACTGGATTTTTAAAAGTTTTTTTTTAATTTTGAGATATTTTGTATACAAGATTAAAATGAACTGGTAGAGAACATAAATAAGTCTGATAAATTGCATTAAAGACGCAGGTTTCTATTTCATGGGATGAGTTTTAGATGATAAAACGGGATGAAATGGATTATAAGGGTCAGATGTGAAAATGTCAATCCCCTCGGTGAAAGTGTTTCACCTCTACCGGAACGCACCTTGTTTTTGTTTTTTTTTTATCCCGACTCGATACCTGAGGGGGAGGCTTTGTTGTACAGATATATCTTGTGCTGATTGTTACTATCAAATGAACAAGAAAATGCTTATGTTCGTTTAGTAAGAAGAAATTCCCTTCAATTAAGAAAATAACAAAAACTTTTTGTGTACGGTAAGTTGACTAGTAACCTTACATAGTTTTACCGTATACTAGAAAATGTAATTACTTTTAGAATAATAAATATTTCTGTTGATTTGAAATACTGTTACACTTAAATTTAAAAAAAAAATGGTTTACTTTATTTCAACTTCGACTTATATAATTTAATTTTTAGTAAACAAAGCGCCTTCTACTTGTATTATCTGTTCGAGAGGAATACATAAAGTAATTTAAAACCCACTGTACAGCTCTACATACATGTACGTGTACATAATAAAATATTGTTGTTTGTGTCTTCTTGAAAAGAAGAGACTCACATTTGGTATTCTAAATAACTTTTCGCATGCAGGAGTGCACGAAATGTGGGAAACAAATACTCTGTCTTTAATATTTTCAAACCTTTGAAAATAAGATGGAGAGGACTTTTGAAATATACGGAGATAACAAACAGTAATAAGCTCAAAAATTCAATAAAGAATACAAATTTTGGAGCAGAGAAAACATGGCCTTATAAACATAGTAGGTAAGATCTGGTGCCATGGAGAAGTGAGCATTCTCTGTGGACCTGTCACACCCTGTGTATGCTCCTTGTCATGATCGGGAAACAATGAAAAAATCCGTTGACAATTCAGTATACAACGCCTTCTTTCCAATTCTGTTAAGAATGTTTTTGATAAAATATGTTTCAAAATTAAATTCAACTTGATCTTAGTGTACATGTGATATAGGCTGCCTTTGCTAATTTGTGACTATTCCGGTTTTGTAGCAGCACTTTAATATGATTATCCTTTTACTAGAATAACAAAAAATTACTGTCATTAAATTATTTTCTTCTTTGATTTTGGAAAGTAAGAAATGAGTTTTAGAAATCAATAGACGATAACTCACTTGTTGTCGTTGTTGTTGTCGTCGTTGTCGGTTTTGGTGTAACTGTCAATGCAAAATCAAAAATATATTCAAAGATGAGGAAATAAAACGTTATTTTTTCATAAATGCTGTTAACAGATGTACCTTTAAATTATTTCTAAAAAGTAATAAAACATTGGCAATAATAATAGGTGTTTTATATTTGTCGTTCAGGAATTCAGCTCAGGTTTTGTTAGCATATTATGGAAGAGTGCTTGCCAAAGAAAATGATGTAACTGTACCTCTACATGTTCTGACAGCCAGAATGTTTTTTATGTTCTGAAGTGCATTGAAGTCTGAAACTCTGAAATAATATTCACTGGCAGGTCGTGTGGCCATCATTCGGAGCTCTCTTGCATTGATCCTGGATCCGATTCCAATTGAAAATATGTGGATATTTTGTCTCTTGGCTTTGGAGGCCTCCCACACTGTCATTAACATATTACTCGATTGTCCGTCCGTCAGAACGATTCCAATTTGAGGCACATCCTCTCTTGCCCCATTGTGAAACGAAAACATTTTTTCCCTCATGAATTTAATAGCCTTGTTTGTATGGGTAGCATATCCGTGCATCTGTTTAATGTTACGAATTGCTGAGAAGACGTCCTCCTTTGTATAAAACTTGTCAAGATAAAATTCTTTGTGAACACTAGATGAATAAGTTACAACACCGACTCTGGTGGTGTTTTTACCGATTTGGAACATGGATACCACATCCTTGACAAATTGAAGTTGCTTCTGGAAGTACGGTCCCCAAATACTGTTGGAGGAATCGAGTAGAAATACGACGTCAGCTGGCTTGTTACCACAGTAATATTCGTTATCTGAAAAAACAAAATAAATCAAAATTATTTAGATTTCTTCAAATAAACGATATTCGTACATGTTGATCTGTTAAAATCATATTTTAATTATGTTGAAATAAGGATAATATACCGAGACACTTCAATCATATGAAGGTCACTGACTTGATTTCTTAACCTTGGCTTATTTGTAAACATTAGCAAATACACTGTGACTGAATATAGAACATCAGTAAAACCGACATTTCCCCTACCGCATAGATGAACTATAATGCAACAAAAATTCTAATTTAATGTATCATTAAATCGAGAGAAAAAAGAGAAATTAGGACAACATTGAAAATTATTTTGAATTAACAAACGGAGCACCTTGGCAAGAAATTCATCTTTTGCATGTTTGAATTTGTATATTTAAAGAGGCTACGTTTTCAGTTAACGAAGTCTTTAGATTTACTTAAAAGTTTCAAGGCCCTGATCCTTCATTTACTCGGATGCCCAAATGCTCAATTAAAAACGAGTATAATCTGTCTGTGCCTTATTTTTCTTTTAAGTGGGATGACTTACAGACACAAAAGTAAACTTTTCACTGTTGATACAGCATTAGTTTAATTACGCTCTTTTAAAATCACAGATAATGGAAAAGTAAGAAATGTCAAGAATTCATAGATTAAAGAGTTTTGTTTTTCTAAGATTTTTTTTATTGTTCTTTAGAAATAAAAACAAAATCGGAATTGAAATGTTCTGAGGAGTAGAAGTTATTTAATTAAACAAGAATTAGCCAAGTTTAATACATGTATCTTCGCACATTTGCCCCACCTTCTTACTTTGATTATGGTAACAGAAGACTTAATGTTCTTTACATAATTGTATATTAAATACCTTTTAGATGCAATTTAAATCAAGTCCCTTGTGCACGTGCGGTAAAGTTGAGGACACATATCATTATTTTTTCGTATGTCCAAAGTATGCGAACGCCAGGAATGAATTTTTTCATAATTTTTTACAATTTGATACAATCCACATACTAGATACACATGTTTTATTATGGGGGGTTGAATCTCTGAGTGCTGCAGAGAATTAACATCTCTTTTCTTTAGTTCAAACATTTATTAAGCATTCTGGTAGATTCCCTTGTTAATTACTGTACCAATATTGATATATGAATTTATTTAACTTTTATATATTCATACATATATGCAAAATGCATCATACTTTTGCAAATTCAATATTTTATATAGCATGTTTAACTGTGACAATATAAATTGTAATTTACATGTATAGGGAGAGGGCGTTATAAGTATTCAGTACTTGTGCTCAATCCCTTTGTAATTATATTACAATAAAATATGTTCAAATCAAATCTTCGCACATAGAATTAACACTTTACATATTATTTTCATTTAATACCTGTAATTGGCCATTAGGGCTTTTGAGATATAAGAGATAACCTTCCTTGCCATTATCTACTACGAAAGGGGATCTCAAATTATATGCGCTTGTCCGAATGACCTCTTTGCAGATCCCTCAGTGGGATTCGTACGTACATGTAATTACGACTCCTTACTCCGTCACTCTGAAATACCCATACCACTGCGCCAGGTCCTTTTGAATATGCACGTAGAGAATATTCGCAGAGCATTGATGGTGCAAAGGAATACTCTCTGTATTAAGAGAGGTTACCTCTAAGCTTAAAAATTGAAGGGTATTTTTTTAATTTGCAATATCAGAAATAGATCCCTATTTAGTTTTACACTGTATATAATTCTCTCGTTTTATTTAAAACACATGGAAGCGAAATTCTTATATTAAGCACAACAAAGTACATAAGGCAAAATTTGAAATATAGAAGATATTTTACTTTTTTGCATGTTTTGCTGCATAAACCAATTATAGTTTACCATTTATTATTTTGAATTTTCTTCATGCATTGCAAAATTTACATAGTACAAAGAAAAGGAACTAAGTGGAAGTTATAAAAATATCGTATTGACGTCCATGATTTCATTTTGATTTTGGTTAAATGATGCTATTTATTCTTAAACAAAGTCATGCATTGTCTCCTCTAACTAGAACGATTCAAAATAACCCTGTTTTAAAGGACAAATATTGGCATCAATTTTGCAAAGATGCTAGAACTTACCATCAAGTCTTTGAGCTAGAATTACCTAGAAAATAAAAATATATATAAAACATTAATTCAGCTGATTTGAAGGAAAATTAAATTCATTTGAATTTTATAGATGTGCAAACTTAAAGAGGATGGGAAGTAAAATAAAAATAGATATAAAGACTATAAATATAGAAACTCACCGCCCCAAACGTCATTAGAATTAAAATAACATAATTCAGTCTTAAATCCATCATTTTGATTTTTGTGTTCCCTCTATATTGCACTATATTATGTCTCGTCGTTTGTTGTTGTAACCGACAATGCTTGAATGGGTTTTAAATATACTTTCTCGGTGAATTCTCTCATGCAGTGGGCGGTCTTAACTAACCAGTCTTACGTGATTTACTACAAACCTTGAAGCTTCTCGTTAAGAGTCAACTTTGTTATGTCATTGACAAAATATTTGACAAAAATTGCTATTTTTGACAAGGAGACAGGTCTGATGTTTTATATGCTCCTCACTCTTAAAAGCTCTCTGTATGTTATGTAGTGTCTCCCACTCAATATGATTACAGCGATAAGACAGGTTAATTCTAAACTGATTACTCAGATTCTTATTTATGTGTTGTCTTCCGGAAAAATTATATAGGGCTCAACTTTTAATGTAAATTGGTATAGATTCCTATATAATAAGTGTTTTGTTGACGCTTCATACGTAAAATACCTAAGATTCTGAGCGGCTGTTTCATAAAATTCTTACTTATTTTAACATCAAGCAAATATATCTATGAACAAAATTGAATTTTCGTCCATTTTCATGTTCATTATTTATAGTTTTTTTAAAAAAAAAGATTCATTCACATGTTAAGTGCAAATTTATGGAAATTCAATCCATGGCAATGATAGGACACCATTTGCAATCATTATTATCATAAACTAGCACACGTCTAAGCGTTTAAGAGAGGACTTTACTTGCAGCACCATCGTGATCATTGCAATTTTCAAATGCAATTTCATAATATGCTACACATTAGCATATATGAAGTATTTTACGAACTGTTGAAAATTTTTGAAGAGTACCTATTATTTGTAAATAAACATCTTTCCACTTAATTTTTCTTTCATATTCGCAAGAAGAAAAACATCGTGCAAACATTTACAACTCAAAGTATTGCAAGTTAAACAGATATAATGAATTTATAATGAAATCGTGAGTAAATATCATTCATTATTTCAAACGTTGTTTGCAACAATATTTTAAGGCAGATAATGACATAAAACCATCCTCAATAAACGGATAAAAGTTTTATCCTTTTGATTTATATCCTTGGAGGAAGTTTAATATGGTTTAAGGCGTATGCCAAAGGCATATATATATCAAGAGACACAGTTATATGGTTTATTATATAATTACGTAACTAGAGTCACTCGGGTGACACATTGTTATCTGATATCACCATATATTGTACGTCTGTAGTAAACTTTAGAACATTTCAGAACATTTTAGAACTTCAATAATTTCAGGGATTTTTTTCCAAATTTTTGGCCACTGACCCAAAGATATCAAGAGGGAGATCAATATATGTAGAAAGGAATTGAAAGCTCTCAATAGCCTCTTTATTACTCAGGGACATATGACAAATTGTTTGTATGATTAAATGAGTAGCAAAAATTATTAAAATTCAGATATTGTACTGAATGAAATATATGGAGATAAAGAGCAGTATTCAGTCTCAAAAGTCCATTACACAATGTAAATTTTGGAGCAGAGCAAACATGACCCTCTTAACATCGGAGGTGCATGCACGGATCATATGCCATGGAGGAGTGAGCATCCCCTGCCGACTGGTCAAACCCGCCGTGTGCTTCTTGTCATGATTGTTAAATAAAGTTATTATCCGTTGATAATTCGTTGTTTAAATAATTGCCTTACAATTAGCATTGAAAGCTTCAGTCAGCATTTGACATGACACCTGATCCCTCCTCAGATATTCTGGAGGTCCGACTTTTGAGCTTGAAAACTCTTATCGTCATATACAGATTGCACATGCTGACAAGACCATTGTATCGACCCTATAGAAATGAAGACCTTAAACGAGATTGCTGATATTCTTGTTTCATTAACCTGTTTGTCAATAACTTAACTCGTTTTAGAAAGTGTTTCAAAGTAGCGTATACTCTGCGTATCGAATCAACTGAGAGATATAAAACTCGAAAGCAGTTATGAAAATATATTGCTGCATAATTATAAGAAAGAGAAGTTGACGATTGAAAAGTTAAAGTCATCTCGTTTATCATAAGATTTTGTTGTTAGATAAGCATTAAAGTCTTTTTCTAGTTAAATATCCAAATATGAAAGAGAAAGAGAAACACAAATTATAAAGCGAATTTTCAAAACTTTTATTCATGACTTTTTTATTTAGAATTTATTATTAACAAAGAATTATTTCATCGAGGCAATGAAAAAATAACTCCTCATAATTCCCCATGTGCAGATTTTAACATAAAATTAATGCAAATAGATCTGCGGGTCCTGCGGTCGTTCACATCTCACCACCCTGAAGCCAGAGCTCCAGTATTCGGAGTGTTTAAAGTGTTTAAGCCTGAGAACCTCATAATACTCATATGACTGCTATTTTCTCTGATTATTTTACACTATATCATCTTAATGTCTGCTTGCCCTTCCTACCACATCAAATAAGAACATAACTCCTCTTTAAAGAATAAAAATGGTCATTTATTGAAATATGCAATAAATGACAGTGGATCAAAAGCACAATATAAAAAAATTATTAAATATATATTCATATATCAATAAAGATAATTCTTATGCAATGTAAAGAATATTTTTTGCACAGTAATAACAATGGTATATACACTGTGACATTAATTATTGTTTTCTGCTTGTAATGTGCTGGGTTTATGTACAGCTGTACATGTGCATTTAAATTTTCAATTTTGATGAATTAGGCACTTGCACACCAAACTTCTACTGTTACAAGGACGGTTAGGAAACTCAAATATAATTATCTATCATATGACAGAGATGTAAACTGGAAATAGAAATCATCTTTATTCAATGCTGTCTCTGAGATTTCTATGATATATTGTAACTGTCTTTTCCCTGCGTATTAACCTGTATTCATGAGATATACATAGCTGTTCTACATATCTAATGAACAGTTCATACAACAGAGACATAAAAGGCTGAGGCCACTCAAGTTATAGCTCATTTCTAAGTAATCTGTACATTCTTCAAAATGTATATTTCTGTTAGATGATTTTTTTTGGTGTCAAATCAAGTACTAATGCAGAGTTAGTTAAAAGCGATTATTAGACTATTAGACTATGCAGACAATATCTAACTTCTTTGACTTGAAGTCCAAATGACGAACTATTTGCGAGGGACCCCAGGTCCTAGTTGAGCGTACGTTTTATCCTTCTGCTGTCCGCAGATGCAAGATATCAAATATCCAATAAATATCCTTTGTTCTTTTTTTGAAAAAGACGAATTACCATATTCTCAGCGATTGGCACTTATCACTCTTTTATTTAAAAAGGGCGACAAGAATAATCTTAAAAACTACAGACCACTGAGTTTAACAAATACCGATTACAAGATTATAGCTTTTGTTCTCGCAAAAAAATTACAAAGCGTCATAGATAAATTATTAGCAATAAACAATCAGCATATATCAAAGGTCGTTACATAGGTATAAATGCAAGATTGATTTTAGACATTTATGAATACTGCATGGAAAATGAAAAAGACGGAATATTATTATTTTTAGATTTTGAAAAAGCTTTTGATTCGGTCGAGTGGAATTTTCTTTTTCAAGTTTTAAAAAAATTTAACTTCGGTGATAATTTTCTTCAATGGATCCGAATTCTATATAATAAACCAATATTCAGAATTAAAAACAATGGTTGGATTTCTAAAACATGCAGCATGAATAGAGGTATTAGACAAGGATGCCCTATTTCAGCTCTATTGTATCTATTTATGGCAGAAATACTGGCCTTAAAATTAAAAATAACAATGAAATACAAGGAATCAATGTTTCAAACATGAAAAGGGATATTAAAAATATTCAACATGCAGACGATATCACATATATCTTCTTTGAAGGTTGCAATTAAGACTGTTAATGATTTTTGTAAACACGCTGGTTCAAAGGTCAATATAAGCAAAACACAATGTATATTATTGGGTAGTACACTAACATAGAAGGTATCCAGGTAACAAATGATGCTGTTCGATGTTTAGGTATACACATTGGCCATAATAAAATTCAATGTTATGAATTGAACTGGCTAAAGACTTTTCAAAACATGGAAAAACTCTTTGAATCTTGGAAAAAAAGAAAATTGACTATTTTTGGGAAAGCATGTGTCGTTAACTCTTTAGCTACGTCACAACTTATAAACATGGCTTCAATATTACCAATGCCCGATCCCGAACATACTCGACAAATTAAGAAAAGCATATTTAATTTTATATGGAATAAACGCGATAGGATTAAAAGAGATACTGTGATCGGAAAACAGGAAGATGGCGGAATAGGTGTGATAGATACTGAATTGAAATTTAAGGCCTTAAAGGCAGCATGGACTAGATACTTAATAGAAGAAAACTGTATAATTGGCGAAATAGTAAGAGGATATTTAAATCGTCTTAATATTGATATTAATTATCTATTAACATTATCGGAGACAAAACCCCCTGACTTTCAAATCATTTCAAACCTTCCGGGTTTTTTTTATAAAGAAGTACTTTGCAGTTTTAACGATTGTACTTTGCAGTTTTAACGATTGTAAAAGATACATAGATGAAACTAAATTGTCTAATGTAAGTTTTGCTCAACAACCAATATGGAATAATAATATGTTTAAATATGAAAACAAAACAATATGTTTTAAACATTGGATCAAAAGTGGGATAACACATGTTAAAGACCTTTTTAACAAAAATGGAAAATTTAAAACTCTGCAAGAGTTGTCCGGTGATTTAAAACAAAAATCGAATTGGATGTGTGAATACAAAATAGTAAAAACAGCAATCTATAAAAAATCTTTAAGATTCAATATGACTTGTTGTGTATACATACAAAATATAGGGAAGTGTTATTTTAATTTTGTAAATGGTGTACATTGTATTGAAGATAAAAAATGTAATTTTTTTTACGATAATTTACTCTTTAAGAAATTTAAAGCTCCAGGCCATCAATTAATGTATAAAAAATTATTTTCTGTTGCTCAAGAGAGTTGGAAAGATATATATAGAAACAAGGTTAAGGTTATCTATGACAAAAGAATATGTGAATTTAATTACAAATTGTTGA